AAAACGAGATTGGAGCAGAAACAGAAGACATCTCCTGGTTCACAGTCCAACGCCTCTTCCCTCATCATTTGATACTCCTTCCCAGCTCATTCCCCATTCATTCGTTCATTCAGTCAGTCATTCATGATGGATGCACTTTCAGGTGAGAGGCACAAGCTGCAAATGCATCAAAGTGGAAGACGTCGCTCAAGTGGAAGCAGCGGAAGGGAAAAACTCGTGGAAAACCCGTGCCGGAGGAAAAAGTCATTAAAATCGCATAAAAGTGGGCCCAGGAAGAGGTCCAACATGAAGTTAAGGCTTTGACATGCTCGGTCACTGGCCAGAATGATTAATTGTTCTTGGCAGCATTCGCGGTATCAAAAATTCATCAAATCCTCACCTCAAATTATATTAATGACAAAAATGTTTGACAAAATCATTAAATGCTCACCAAAAAAAACGCATAGATAATTAAATAAACACCCCGAAAAAGGAATATTAAAATAATAAAGAAATCGTTTCGAATGCTTTTTTAATAACTTTTGTGACCGCGAAATAAATGATTCAGACTGCAAATGTGAACTGCTCCCAAGCGCTCATTAATTTAAAAATTTTTGTGGAGACGGGGGGAAAACTCATTGTTTTTTTCTTTTTAATGTGAAAAATCATTTACGCTTTTTTCCCAAACATTTTTTCCTAAAACCGCAATGGCAATCCCCGACTGACGTGAACATGAACCATTAATCATCGCCAAATGTAAGCGGCAGACAAAAACACCAGCGAAACTTGTCACAAAAAGTGTTTATTCGCTGGGGGTTCATGTAGAGTATGTACAACATATTTATATGCATTACTCCATCTTCAAATAATAACTCTTACTTTCCTTCTGAATGTCAGGCAATTAAATGACTCCCCCTATGAGTCACCCACTCTTTTTTACTTGCAATTTTTCATTAAGCGAAATTAAACTGCAGACAGCGCTGAGTGCAAATAAAAGGCAAACATTGAAAAATGAAAACTCAAACAGAAAAAACACAGAATTGCCAACCAGCCAAGAGGAAAAAAATAAAAGAGGAGCAAAAACTTGACATTAATCATTACAAGCGCAGACAAAGAGCAAACTCTGTAGAGAAATGGGGAAAAAAGATTGTCGCGTGTGTAGTTTTATTTTCCTTTTTTTTCTTTGCAAACCATATGGTAAAAGTCGATGAAGAAAATGGGGAAAAACCGATGATTTGCCGTTGAAGTAGCTGTTACCAAACCAGGAATCAAAGAACACTAAAATGAGTAAATGAATAATCACAGAACATTATTAATAGTCCAACTTTATACATTAACAGATCCAACCGCAACTAAAATTATAAGTCTGGTTTATTAAAGCATTTATAATGCTAAATAAAGCATATAATTATTCCAATTTGAATAAATATGTTTAATGCATGAGACCATTAGGAAGCCTTATAAAATTATTAATTAATTCAATACTCTATTGAGAAATAATTTACTAACCCATATTAATTTGCACATTTCTGGCAAACCAAAATTAAATTTTAAAACACCCGCAAAGCCTGATTTTGCAACTCTTTTGCAACGATTAAAATGTTTTTATTGAACATTCCGGAAAGTGAAAGATTTCTGAGATTCCTAGACGAAATTCAGAGCCCCATTCCGCACAATCTGCCAAAAAGTGTTATTCATGGGTCAAAGTGGAAACTCATGGGGAATTCAGGCGCCCACGAGTTTCGCCATCAGCCGGTGATGTTAAGCGCAGCAATTCCAACGCCATAAAGTATGCCATAAAAAGCCAAGTATTTCAAAAATAGACAAGGATAGGCCCAAAAGGACCCGCAAGGCGGCACGCCATTAGTCGCCACATTAGTCACGGGGGATTTTCAGAGGCTCCTCTAAACACACAAACACACACACACAGTCGGGGAAACTTTCTCAATTTTCCAAGTTGGGAAAAGCCCAGAGGTTGTCTCTACACGGCTGCAAAGGACATTAAACCCGAGTCGCAGGATGGGAAAATCACCGAGAGAGAGAGGTTCCCACGCAGGCGCCATAGGCACCCAAAACACCAAGGCTCCTCCGTTCGGGAGCTTTTCCCGGCGAGAGAAAAGCCGGCCGGCTTCGGGTTTTCCTCTCATGGCCATGGCCGTGACAATGGCCCTGGCATTGAAGTGCCATCGCCCCCACATTCAGCCCCCTTCCCGCCCACCGAACGGTTGTCATTGCACTTGCCCTTGCGTAGGCGCAAAATGGGGGAGCCCCTAAGCCCCAAATGAGAACCCCCTTCCCCAGCCCCTTTTCTTTTCATGGCGAACCTCAGGCTGTTTTTCGAAGGAAAAAGGAAGCAACAGTGGGAAAAAAAGGAGAATTTTTTAGGGGCCTCACGTTGGAAAGAAGATTTCTTTTAAAAGAATGAATCTACAAGTTATCAATTTTAAATTAGAAAATAGATTGTTTATAAGTTCCGTACAATAAATAAATCATCAAAGACAATGAACAAATAAGGAATGGGTAAATAACATAGAAACCAATGATGATATGATATGATGATATATGATGATATGATATGATATGATGTGATATGATGATATATAATGATATGATATGATGATATGATATGATGATATGAGATTATATATGATTTTAAAAATTGTCTAAAATAAAGATGTTTTTAAGATGCGATCTTTTATAACAAGGTCTGTAAAGTCAAGATATATTAAGCCTTAATTCTCGCCATTATTTTTTTCACTTGATGGATTTTTTAATTCTGCAAATTATATTTTTCTCCCTGTGTAAGAGCCTCCTTGTGAATGTTAATAAACCGTGGCTACACACTTGAGGGCGTGCGCAGGCCTACACCTCCGAAGGGGCCCCTCGTTTCCTCGCTAAATCCCAAGCTTTGCCGGGTGCTTTGACCTTGTCCTTGCACCTATCTCCCGCCCACGCACTCCCCACCCCTGCCACGCCCCCTTCCGCCTCCTGGGGGAGTTATTTGGCAAATGTGTGCGGCACGCAGACTTTCTGACCCCCCGAAAAACCAGACTGACGCATTTATATATTATTCAAGGCGAAGGTCGAATTCGTGAAGAGGGGGAAAAGTGCCTTCCTTTTTTGTATATATATGCGTGGGAAAATCTGAGTTTTCAGGTTACGGGGGCGGGAACGGGGGGAAGCAACTTTAAGTGGGCTTTTTATGGCATTTCGCTGTAGACACAATTTAATATCAAAAGGAAAATAAAAAGTAAATACGGTGCAAGGTGTCTGAACCGGCAGACAATAAATAGCCGGGGTCCTGGGCAATAAAAGTTGATATTCCTTTTTTGAACCCCTCGTCCTATAACTGTAAATATTTGATATTTAAATTTCGGAATTTCGGAATAAAGTCAAAAGGAGGCGAAGCTTTGTCATAAAATTGATTGGTTGCTCTGACTTTCTTCCATTTTTCAGGTTCAAAGCGCATTTTCAGCTGGGTTTTTATCTTTTTTTCTGTATTTTTTTGAGGCTGACAGGTGTTGGAAGTGCTCAGCCAAGCGAAGTAGCAAAAAACGGAAAAAATAAGATGAATAAAATAAAACAGCAGCAACAACAATTACTCAATTGAACGAGGTCAGTGGCTGGTCGAAGGCAAAAAAGATATAAAAAACTGTGAAAAGGAAAAGGGAAGTTAAAGTGGCCAGGGAAATGGAGTTGAGTTCAGGCTGCTGCCACTGCAGCTGCTGTTATTAAAAAGTTTTCGCCTAATTGGCAACTTTGTAGACAGACGAGAGCCGAAAAACCGCCAAAAGAAGCATACAAATTTAACCGAAAAATGGAAAAAATCAATGGCGAAAATTGCAGGTTTGCACGGGTGACACTGATTATAACTCTGCAAAATATAAAAAATATTTTAAAAACCGCTTTTTTTTTCAAAATAATTTTATTTATCCCAAAGATACTCGAAAACATTTTTAAAATACCCTAACTAATGACAAATTAATAAAGATAAAAAAGGGGAGCCTTAAACATAAAATATAGAAATTAAAACAAATTCGATTTCCCCAAATGGCCATAAAAAATGCTCAAAAAATAAAGGAAATTGAAAGCAAAAATTTACCCAGGATCCTTAGCCAGATCCCCTCTGTAATAGCCCACATAAAGTCAGCTTAACCGTCGTTATGACTGCAACACCAGAGTGTGCAGCAAATGTTGCAAGTTGGAGGGATAAAAGCAAACACTGCGGAGTTTGGGGCACACAATGGCCAACTTGTTCTCTCTTTGATTTTATGGCCAGAAATTGGTAATTTCAACGCACATTGGATAAAGGCAGATGAGGCGAGCGAGGATAATGACGTTGTTGTCCCTGTCGTGGCCATAAAAAGCATTTGGCCCGGCTCAGAGAAGCTCAGAAATATCGTTCGATTATTTGGCCATAAGCTAAAGCCAGTCAACGATCTTTGGTAACAAAGTTTTCGGTTTTTGCCATAAGAAGGGGATTTTCCAAGGACCTATGACTTGTACTAATGGTTAAAAAATAACCCTGAGTGCCAGTGCAATTTAAGTACCTTAACCAAGGCATAATTAACATTTTCCATTTACTTTTGTTTATGCAACAACTGGCCTTGTTGTTTTTTGTCATATGTCAGCCCGAAAAACATTAAAATTTACTTTTGCATGCCCCGCATCGCAGGCAGCCGCAAAAAAGTACTACTAAACAAATTAAGCAATTTATTTTCATTAACGCAAACAAAACTAAAGACTGCAGCCCTCAAGCGTAGCGCATATATCTACGAAAATATGTGATCAAGTCGAGGAACATTTTAATTGAATTTCGCTCACATATGCTGACATTCCGCCACATTTTCGCCAGCGTGGAAAACCAGCTAACAATTAAGAGAAAAATGTAACATAAATCAAAGTCAAGTGGAAAATCGAAAACATGGGGCATTAAAACTAGAGCCAAACTAAGGAGATTTATAGAGCTTACGAAAATAAAGAGGGTGATGTATGTAGGTGGCTCGAATCGAGGGTGGCACTCCATAGGAATTATGTCATCGCCAGAGCTGAAATCGAAATCGATTCAATTAAAATGTTTTTCAGAGGGGGCTCTCTGAATCTGGGGCCCGCCATTCCGGCGAATTACAATAATTTTCAATAAGCTCTCCTTCAGCTGCAGTTGCTGTTTCGCTGACACTTGAAAACGCTCGACACCCGATGATAATGATGATTGCACTGGTGATGATCGTCATTAGCATCGGGGCAATCGGACATTATGTCAGTCAGCCAGCTGTCATACGGACCCCAGACCCCAGACCCCGGAGCTCAATTGTCCGGGACTTGAAGGCAAACAATCCCCGAAATTCACTCCAGGCAAATGAAATAAATAAAGGAAAAAAGTGAAAAACGTACATATAAATTACATTTCCAGACTGTGGACTACTGCACCTCATCCTCGCCTTTTATTCCCCATGCACATGGTATATGCCCCTGCTCATTTTGGCCAATTTCTCCTCACCATCGCTCTTCAACTCAAATGATGCGTTAAAAAACACAGGGAAAGAGGCGAAAAAACAGCAAACAAAATTGCAACCCGTTGCGGTTCAGTGGCTCTTCAACCGGCAGCTGCAATTCCAACTGCAAACTGAAAACTGAAAACTGAAAATGCAACTGCAACACATCAACGACGAAAATATTTCCAGGCCGAGCCTTAAAAATTTCAATTAACTTTCCAGCGGGGAAAACAATGCCAAAGAAATGCAGAAAATTGCCAGGGGTAAAAAAGTGTTAAATATATAAAATATTTAACCAAAAATGGGGGGTCCTCTTCATAATAATTTAATGAAATATATTTTCCTTTAGGCCAGAGTTAATTCATTTAAAATTGATTAACTACGATTAATTGCTTTAATTTAAGTCATATTATAACAATATATTTTCCATTTCCACGATTTATTTGCTACTTTGTAAGACCATGATTGGCACTTTATCAAGTTTGCCTTTAAAAACAAGTACATTTAAGTGGAAGCTGGATTGAAATGTCAGTTAACTGACCTTGTTGCACTTTTAGCCATTTAAACACCTTTAACAGTTTCGATTTTTATGCCCACAAAGGCCTCGAATCGGTGTCCGAAAATTCCAACACCTCCTCAAGTAAACTAATAAGTACACTGGAAAATATTATAGGGTCTCTAAGAATAAAACTCAGCTCATGATAAACCATAAAGTGTTAAGAAATCCATATTCAGTAACTCAGTTTTAATGAAATATTTGGTAAAGTGGAAGGCTAAATTAATTTGTTTATTTTCTGTGTAATTGTTATAAACAAAGCCGGGTTTTGTTGTTACTTGCACAACTTTTCGTGTGTGTGTGCGATAAATCTAAATGAAATCATAAAAATTGAGACGAGACAACGTCGAAGTTTTGTGGGTGTGAGATTAACTCAAGCGGAGAGTGAACATTAAAAAATAAAAAATCTGCCTTTGTTGTTGCTGCTGGTTTCTCACTCTGGTGTTATTGTTTTTATTGTTGCTCTTGTGGATTGTAAACAAATGCTTAATTGTCGAATGCAAATGACGCTGACATGTGTGCTTTTTTGTGATATTTTTTTGAATGTGTGGGCAGCAGACTTTGAAGTGTTTTTGCCATTTTTTAGGTTAAATAAATGTGCGTCTGTGTGCGTGCTCGTTAACATCGCAAGTCAATGCATTTTAAATTTGTTTAATGCGCGCCTTTTTAGCATTTGCGGTTGTAATTAGCGCGGCCAACGAGAGTTCACTGTGGAATGAGTCGGATGGAGATTGTTACAAAAAATAATTAAATAAATAATTTTAAAAATTCAAATTAAGTCGATTAAAGTATTTTGAACTTCCTCAATTGTTGGTTATTATCTTTTAAAGTGTACTCCATGTTTTTGAGTCAGTATTCATGATTATAATATCTCTAAAAAAAATCCATTTAATAATATTGACAGCTATTTTATTAGCTTGATTACTAAGCCTTGTTTAATCATTTTATTTGCGGAATTCCTCGACCCATCTCCACTGTGTTCTCTGCCCTCACAAAGAGCTAATCGATGTGATAAAGTAAATATTCAATAAGAGATGACGGGCAGGACAGACCGCGAGCCTTGATGTCTCCGTTGAGCTGTTCATCAGCCTCACCTTTTGCCATAATCCACCTGGGTTGACATTTGGCATCTCTGTTTATGGAGGCAGAAATCGGAGGCAAGTTCAACAACATTTCAATGTCGGTCGCTGGGTCTCCAGACCCCTCTTCTCGGGTCTTCATCTCCAGTCTTCTGGACCCCTCCTGCCACTCCTTCAATCATTCTCAATGTCTGTCAGTACATGTCTTCGTCTCTGTCTGTCCGTTCGTCCTTGTGTCTTCCCTCTCTTTCTGCGGAGGGACAAGGACGGCGCCGGCATTATCCTGTGCCTGTCTCAGCCAGGCGGCAATCTTAACGACGGGAAATGCCAAAATCACCTACACACAGAACAGCAGAGCAGAAAGAGAGGGGCTGAGTCGGGAGCGAAAGAGACATAACCGCAATAAGTTGATGAGGAAAATTGAAATTAAATTTTCCCCACAAAATGCCATTCAAAACTGACTACCGAAACAGGACCGTACGCCGTTGGGTCAGTGAACTTTACTTTGGGCTAAGAGATAAATGAGTACAAATGTCCTCAAAATAGTAGAAACAAAGAATTAAACACTGTAATCGAAAAACTCGATGTTATAATCGATAATTTCGATACAAGGCTCGATAAGTTTAGTAAAAGGCTCGATAATTTCAATGTAAGGCTCGATAACAAAAATATTACTCTATTTTTTATTACTTTCCGAACTATCCCATTAAATTGTTTATTAATATTTTATACTATTACTGTGTTGACCCCAATTGTAGACATATTTCTGCTTACTTATTAGAAATATGTTTTTGCCACTGCCTCGAAGGCATTTAATTAAGCATACCAAACGACAAGGGGATAAGATGCGAGAAAGGGGGCAAGTCTTACACAAAACCCAGTATGCAATATGCAGCCAAACATAATTATTCATTTTCATTGTGCACTTTGGAGGCACTTGAGCAAATTTTGTGCAATTTGCACCACGCAAAAGTGCAGAAATTGAAATAAATGGATGATAAGCAAAAGGGGGCAAAATGTGGGGTATAAATGAAGTGGAGTACTCAATGTTTTTCTGCAGCAGCAACAGCAGCAGCAGCAGCGAAATGCAAACAGCAGCAGCAACAACAATTGCAGCGGTGTCTGCAACATGTTGCCATGACAATGACTGTCGACGTTTGGCGCCGTCTGGCAAACATACAAACATGTCCGACGAACACACAGGCAGATCTATAAGTACACACAGAATCAGCTGAAATGCAGACAGACACACCACAATGCATATCAAATGCTCAAATGACAACAGCAACATCTACTCTGCCAGCAGCAACTTCAACAATTGCACAGGGGAAAAGTAGTTTAATATTTTATATAGTTTGTAATACTACTTCAACGCCCTTTATCATATTATATCATACAAAATTTAAGGGCTTAACAGGGGGTTATCTGGCAGTTAAGATTTTTTGGATAACCCACCTTCCCAAATCATATAAAACTAAAACTCTCTAGTTGGTATTGGTAGAATCTGATAACTTAAGAGTTTAACTAGGGGTTAGCTAGTAGTTCGGCCCAAGATTTAACTGGGGGTTTAAATATTCTATGAAAGAGCCACCTTTGATTATTAGTTGCCATTTACAGAACTAATTGTATAATTTTCTGTACTAATAAGCAGCAATTAAAGGTTACATATTTTTCTTCAACAACTATCGGTAACTAGAGGTTAAGTTGATTTAAGAAAGAGCAACCTCCGATCATCAGATTCCATTTAATTTTCTCTGTGCAGTAGCAACATCAACGTGTGACAAAGAAACTTGTGAAGGAAATGCAGGAAGAGCGGGAAAAGTGTCAAAGGCAAATGGCAAGGCTATATCCCCCCAAAAGACAGTTACAATAAATGTCATGTTTAAGGCAGTCAAGCGAGGCACATCACTCCTCAAGAAGAGCAGACGACTCGACGGCCAGCCAAACTCCATCAGCAACATCCGCGCACACAGCAGCAACAGCAACAGCAGCAACAGCAACAATAGCAACAATGGCAACAACTTTGGCAAACATGGCCCGAAGCAATTCTACTCGCACCTGAGTGGGCGTGTAGACATGTCTGTGTTTGGAGAACTTTTGCATAAATTTACTGGCTTTAATAAAAATTTAATTCCAAGTGGAATTTGCACATTGCAACGACGATATTGCTACATATGCCAAATTTTTTCTGCACTCTTTTTCGACTGCATAAATTTCGAGCCTGTCCAGTGGCGCCCATCAACTCTGAATTTTTGTCTCCACTGCCATTCCGGTGGAATTCGGCTCAAAAATCGCTGACACTGGCAAAGAACTGAAAACTGAAAACGGAAAAAGGAAAATGGAAAACTCTTGGCGCACTGAATGTGCAGCCATCAATCTGGGAAAGTGTCGCCACTCCAGGGTCCACTAAAAATATTTGGGAAATCATAAGACGAAGCTGGGATCAAAATACCCTTAAAAAATAAAATTTTCATCTGAAATAAAAATATTTTAAAAATTTAAAGGTGTATTACTTTTTTCTAAATTTTTTACGTATTTAAAATTTGATGTATCTTATATTTATAAAGCCCTACAATAGACTTTAACAAACTTCTCGACTTTCCTTCATATTTTCCAATAGTCATAATCATTTTTACGCCCTTTTTAAGGGTATCGATGAACTAAGAATTCCACACCAATAAGTGCCTGTCGTTTCCCTTCAACTTTTGAGTTTGACAACAGCTCGGGAAAATTTCCGCCAGCAAGAAGCAAAAGGAAATGCCCTGATGTATAGTGTCAGTTTGAAATGAGTGGGGGAAATACAAAAAAATGATCGCAAACAGCCAGCGAACATTTATTTATTTCTATTCAAATTTGAAATTTGAAATTTCAGACTGCGATTGCGATTTCGGAGCGAAAAGCACAGACACACATGGCAGAGCCCTCATCAATCATTTATATAAAAACTTATTTTCTTGCTTAAAGTTCGCCAGAGACAAAGATTGATTGGCATATTAAAAACGCGCAGAAAACAGAGCAGATCTCCGCTGAATCATCGGTCACGCCCCTTAAAAAACCAAAAATAATAAGGAAAGGATTAAGGAAGAGCTGAAACAATTAGCAGATGTGCAGAGTCCGAATTGAAGTTCAATTCCCGGGGCTGTGTTAATTATAATTATAGCTGCCTCGGTTTTTTACGCTCTTTTTTGACGCAAATCCCTTGACAGCCGAAATGTTGACAGCTGATTGGGAAAAAGGTTAACCCCCAAAAGTCTATGATATGCTGATTAAAAAATCAGCGAGGCGGCAACAACCCTTTCGGGAATCATTGAGTGCCACGGCAAATTGCTGGATGATTAACAAGTTGACTTGTCTCAATTATGACGAAAACCGGTTTTGGTTTTGATCCGTTTTGTTTAACTAGGGGATTACTCGAAACATCCTTTGGGCAAACAAGGAAAACTTAACCCGGGCAAACTTGAATTTTCCTTTTCTATTCCCTGTTCCAGTTCTTTAAGCCCGGCTAAAAACTTCTAACCGACAAAGTCCTAGACAGTTTATCCCAATAAAGAAAACGAAAATTTCGCCTGGGTTGCATGGCATTTTGGGATGGCATTAAATATTTATAAATTCAATACGAAATGCAATTCGGAATGCATGCCAAAAAGGGGGATTGAATTGTAAAGTTTTTAAAAGCAATTCGCTGCCAGACAATGCCTTCTCTTTCTGCTTTTCTGCGTGCAGACATCGCATAAGTTGGCCAAAAGGGAAATTCCCCGAGACCAGCTGCAGATACAGATACAATTTTGGCTACGCAAAACATATTCAAAGCTCTCTGGGGTGGCTACAGATGCAGATCGAGCAGGGCAGACAGGTGAGAGGTGAGGTGTGTGCCAGGATTTTCCCCACCGCCAATTGTCCTGCGAGAAATTCACTCTGTCTGCCACTTATGAAATATTCAAGGCGCACTCCAAGGACCTCTGCATCCTCATATGCACACATACTTTATACATACGTATATGTTATGATTTCATGAGTTCTGACCAGGATGATGGTTTGTCGGTTTGGCAACCGCAAATGCCGAAGTTCGCCTTCGAGGCTCGCTAATTGCCACTTGAAATAATTCCCAGTCCAGACCTGCGGCCCCAAATCGGTTTTACTCGGTTCAATACCCGTCTGCGCTCGCCTCAACCACAAGCCCAATCATATATATCAATCGGAGCAGCAGCAACAATGGGATTCAACCAGGCATAATCCATAACAATGTGCAGCTCGAAGGGCTCAAGCGGGCCTCAATCTCAAAACTCAACGACTTGCAGGGCACCGAAAAAAATATCCATATTCCATATGAGTCAGCAATGATATAAATTAAACTTATAATATTTTTATTTATTTAAAACATTTGAAAACGATAATTATAATCAACATAAGCCCTCAATTGCATATATTATTTTATGTTATTTTAACTTTCAATATTTTCAAGATGAAAGTTTCTTGAAATGGGAGTATACTGTTCTGGAAATTAGCTACACTTGAATTATTTTTTTTTATTTAATTATATTTTTTTTTCAGTGAAAATGACGTCAAATTGAAATCAACTTACACTTGAGCCAGCCATCTCCCTTACTCCCACACCCATGAAATTGTTTGACTGGGCATTACACCGAGTGTAAACAGAAATCCGAAACAACTCGCAGGGGAATCGGAATCGGGGTAATATCGGAGGCTATATAGAATGGGAATAATGGCAGAGAAGAGGGGACTTGAGAAAAAAGGCTGAATGAGAGGCGGTGAGATTGAAAGATAAGCAGCCGGCCCAAAGACTTTTTCCTCTTGATTGGCTTCCAATGCACTCATTCACAATCGATGATGAGGTGCACTGTAAAAATAAACCATATCAAATAATAAACAAGTACTCTAAATGAATGGTAAAACATTTCAAGGGAACCATTTAACTGGAATTGGGTAGTTCGATAGATGTAAATATATACATATTGGTCTAAAAATAAACTAATATTTAATTGATACTTTGCAAATCTTTATTATCTTCCCACTGCAGTAAAGCTTTTTCAGCTTTTCTCTCTCGCTACTCATGTGACTGCGAAAACAGCTTAGACAATGAATATTTGTATTTTTCTACGCTGCACTTCCCTAGAATTCTAACTCAGCTCGGCAGCCTCCGCAGACCAGCTGGAGATTATCTAATCCAACAAAAACAAACCCCCATTTAGACCAAGGCATATCCAATTGCAAGTTTGCCAAGTCAGGCAGATATTTGTTTGCCTTTCCTTCCCAGAAAGCAGTCAAGTCAAGCAAACTCTGCGGTTTCTCAATGAGTGAATAAGCGAAACAGTGAATGAGTGTGAGTAGATAGCCTAGGATTTGAATCGTATATATGTATTCATAACTCACCTTGACTTGATAAGAATTCAAACGAGTCTTTGGCAGCAAGTTGAACGACGAAAAGTCCAGGCGACGCGAAAAGATCCCATTGCAGCCCGATGTGGAGCTAAAAAGAATCGTAGAAGAAAAATATATGCATAAATCAGAAAAAGATAGATAAGCGAAAAATATGAATGCACAAATTCCTCTAAATAAAAATGTAAATTCCTTGACAGCTGGAAAATTGCAAATATGACAGCCGAGCGGAAATTCCTCTGGTCTCGAGTTCAAGCCGCATAGAATGGCGATAAGGATTTCCCTCTCTAAAATGCTTATATATTTATTGGCTGTAAGCCACGTAACTTGGCATTATTCTGACTAATCGAATAGTACGTGACTTTTCAAGTTTCTTTTTTCTCTACAATATTTTCTTTGCACAAACTGACGTCAGAGGGGCCCGAAATAAAGTGAAAACAAAAGTTGCTCAAGGGACTTAAAAGCTTAAAAATGACATTATAAAATTAAAACAAATAAAATTATATTTAGTTCCCTGCTGGGAATTTTTTCACATATTTTCTTTTCAGCTTGTTATATGGCCTACGGCCAAAGCAAATAAAGTTATCAACAATGCCCAATATAAGACAGAAAAAGCTACACAAAAATGTACAATAAAAATAACGAGAAAACGAAAGCAAACAGAAAATGTGAAATAAAAAAAGTAAGAAACGCCATGAGACAAACAGTCGAATTCATTTGCTGACCTTGACATTGAATAGATTTGTTTTATTTTATTTTTCCCTCCTTCCCTCCGGTTTTATTAGCATTTTAATTTCAGTTTTATTTCTACAGCGCTCTCCCTCGCTCTTATCAAGTGGAATTTCAACTTATCTGGGGGGTACAAAAAATACCTTATCTGGTTGTTGGACCCGAAAGCTAAAGCCATTAGAAATGCTATAATACGTTGTTTATTTACACCTTGGCTTCGATTATATAACATAAACAAAGCAGACCGAATGTCGCGTCATTTTCTCGACTTAGTCACCGCCTTTTGCTAATCAGCAAAGCGGTGCGAAATTTGTAATTTATTTTCGAAACAATTACAGGCTGTGAGGAAATTCAATTTCGAAAGGTTAATTGAGCCAAGCGTCGCGCATTCCAGTCCTCTTCACCCACAAGTAAACCTCGAGATGAGATATTTCTGCTAATTTGGGCAATATGAATTTTAATTCGAATCGAAAAACACAGCAGCAGCTGGTCAGTTCGGACCGCTCAGATCGTTCGGATCGTTCATATTGCTCATATATCGACCCGCTCTTATTGTTTGCTTATTTTATTGATCGGATCTCGCACTCCAGATCGAGATGTGCACGGCTAATGAATTTTAATGGCCCAAATGCGTTGGCCTTCCCACCGCCTATTATTATGGTTCATTTTTGGCCCGAACACGTGCGCTCTGCTCTTTCTTTTTCTCATTCTGTAGAATCTACAAAAGGCCCCCTCCATTAAAAGCGATCTTAATTCTTATGAGTGTACCCTTTCTTTATGAAGGGGGTGTACCAAGTGCTAGAATAAAATCGGGCATCCTATTTGGGCTTGGGTTATAAATTTATCGATTTTATTTGGTCAGCAAATTTTGGATTATTATCACATACTGTTTATGCGAATTGAATCGTTTTTTAATAGGCAAAGTAAAGTTTCAAAAGTTATCAGTATTCTAAATATGATCGAATGGTATTTACTTGAATAATTATTAGGTTAAAGTTTATTAAATCAGTCGGGCGTTCTACCAAATATTATGGTAGTTAAAACGCTTTCTTTATTTTCTAACACGACTGATTTAACTAATTATATTTCTGAGCGACTATTAATTTAATAGCCAGCTAATTGATTCAATTTTCACATAATTTCAAAACATCTCGTTTGAGCAGAGTATAAAATAGTTTAATTTTTAGAACCCATTATGGCCGAATTTTGCATTCGACCGGAGAAATCGTTTCAAGATCTGTGAGTCAGATCCGCCTCCTGTCAGCCCCAGCTATATAGCTTATGGCAATACCACATAGCATATAGCTGTCATTGGAACAATCAATGATTTGGGGGCTGGCCGGTTCTTCCTGTCTGGACTTTTGTTGGTTTCGCTGGTCTCGGACCTGAATGGAGTTCAAAGTGAAGTGCAGTCACAGCTGGTGAAGTCCGAATCCGAATCTGAATCAGAAACCAAGTCCAATTCCAAGACCCATGAATGTGCTGTAATTTATAGGCGGCGTCGCTTCCGTCGCCTGTCAAATTGAATGAGCCAAATGAGTTGAGCAGCCAAGACAAAGGCGTTTCAAATTAGAATACCAAACATTATCACATGTTCCGAGCAGCTGACTCTGACCTTGAATGGCCGAAAAAAAAAATGGAAACACAAGCGAAACTGAGTTGCCATATAAGCTATTTTCTAGCCACACAAGGTCGTTTATCAATGGAAGAAAATATTATAATTTAGAAAACGTTGACTATAATATTACACATTTTTTTAGAGTGACCATGATGTAATAAGAAACAGTCGATCCTTAAGAATGGTGCAGTGTGACCTTACCATTTCTAAAAGGTTTAAATTTAGGTTGTTTTTCATATACGATACTATACTCATTCCCTATAGGGCGGGCGGATCGATCGGGCGAGGCCTTCGGCCTGCTGTCAAATAAGAGATGAAATGTCGGGAACCCAGGCTGAAGTCTTGCTGTTGCTGCGTGAATCTGCGGGCGGGCTGCAGTTTCCTGGCGTTATTCGAGATTTTCTCATCGATACTAGGCATTTTTGCCGGAGAAGGTAAGCAGAGGTAAGCTCTGGGTTTTAATTTCTTCCTTAAATTTATTCTTAAACTTGAAAAACCGTGTTTTGTATCAAACTCAGGTGGTCGGCTATTGGTGATCGGCAGGGCTGCCTATATGCTGCACTTCCTCGGCTCGATTTTCCTTCTGATGAGCACTTTCATGGTATGTCATCACCATTTAAAGTCCCCTCTCTGATCCCCATCTCTTGCAGCAGATCGAATTGCTGGTCCTCATATATCTCGTGACCAACATAGTCCATTTGATCTTCTCTACCGCCTTCCTCATCGACTACGCCCTAAGCTGCGGTTTCTGCACCCTGGAAGCCATTCCCGTTTTTTTCACTCTGAGTAAGTACGACTAAAGTTTTATATTCAACATTTATTGGATTTTTCTACAGTTTTCAGTCTTTATTTCTGGCTGGTGGCCTTCTCCTACTGGCGACGCCTTCAATGGGAAAACAATCCCGAAAACGACGAATGAGGCTGAGGGGATATATCGTTAATTCTGGATCTTGAGTGCTCATTCTGTGCCTTTTGTGTTTGTTTTGCGCTGTGTACTTTTCGTTTTTGGCCTTAATTTCACACTAATTTGTAAATTTGCCTTTAATGCCAAAGACAAAGAAGAAACCGAAAAGAGCAAAGTTCCGCAAATTGTTTGTACAGAGAAATATATATTTTGTATTCACCGTGGAGAGGAAAAAGTAAATGAATTGCAGGCAATCTGAATCGGCGAGGAGAGGGGAAAACTATGTATTTTTCCTTCTCGGAGGAACCCAATCACTTCATTCCCGGGCAATTTTCAATCACGTGCTAAGTGCTGCCAGACAGAAAAGAGTCGATTTGTCTGCCCTGCCACGTTAGCGTGCAATGCAAGTGGAAAAGGGGGAAAATCGGAGGAAAACTGGAGCTGATTTGTGTGCTGCATAATTTTCCGTGCCACAAAAAGAGCGGTGGAAAAGGGAGCGAGCCCCCATCAAGTGGCAAAACTATTTGCCCTATCACGTACAAATTAAAAATGTGAAATGTTTCAATTTCTGTGGGTCCGACTTCTCCGTTTTTGGGATTGCCTCACCCTCACCCAACACAAAAACAAAGCACTGAGCTCCACTTCAACTTCGATTGCGGATCCCCCAGTCCCCTGGAAGCCCCTCCCCATGCCATCCACTATCCATCGGTTTATGTAAATTCATTTGCGGTGACTTTGCTTTGGCGCCCAATTAGTTTAATTTATGCAAATACAGCGCGGGCCACTGACAGTGCGTGGCGAAAATATAAGTCAACGGATGCGGAGGGCCACCACATGGTGGCTATAATCGATAATTGGGTGATTGGATAATTTACAAACTGAATGTGTTCAATGTACCACTCGAAAAGGCCATTAACCGTTTATGGTGAACCGTTTAATTTGGGACAGACGACGGTGTAATATGCTGTTTTCCAATTTTCGATAGGGCGATAAATGATAACTTTAAATATGAAAGTTGAACTTGTTTTGTAATCGTGTTGATTATCGATTGGAAAGTGGTACACACCCGATAATAGTTTCGATTATTTAACGATAAGGTGTTGATTATCGATTGGAAAGTGGTACAGTCCCGATAATGATGTTGGTTATTATATTTTTGATCGATAGCCCTATGTCACTGTTCCTTACTGTTCCTCTATGATATTCATATCTCGAGGCCCGCTAAATTTAGACTTGTCTCCAAGCAGCTGCCTCAACGAATTTAATGATTTTCATGTTTGTCGATGTTGCTCCGATCCGAACTGATCTCATTTTCGTTTTGACCATTTAATCACCATTTGAATGCAGATCAGAGCTTCTTTAGGTCAGTTTTTTCTTCCTACGATTGGGTTCGGTTTGGCCTCCAAGCAAATGTCAGAGCTGCGCGAATGCAATTAATCGATAAATCACCAAATTCTGGGCGCCGCCAATTGTGAGTTTATAGGTAAATATTTTTTTATTTCCCAGTACCTGTCCGTGCGATTCTTCAAGCGCTTCAAATTGTCGTAGAGATTTGTTCATTTGATAATTTGATTGCGATTGCTGTTATTTCTGCTTTTGGGTGCCACACCTCTCAATAAATTAGACACTGCCCAAAATGCGCAACAAATGCAAAAATAATAATAATAATGGCAAGAGTAAATAGACGAGCGACGTACACAGTTTTCGTGCAATTGCCGCTTCTCACGTTTTTCCCATAAATAACTGGCTGTGGGCCACACTGCGATTCAATTTTAGAAATATAAAAATAAATAACTCTATGCTTATTTCTTTGTTTGGTGGTGGAGCTGCTGCTGCCGCTTCTGGTTATTGATTAAGTCTGGCAATCCCACCGCCCTCCTTCGGTCACGCCCCATCTTTTGATTGAACTTTTCCCTAAGCGAAACAAAAATTGGAAAAACTGCAGTAGGCCAAAACAAAGACAAAGTCGAGATAAATCAATGCAAAATAGGAGAGTGGTCATGGTAAAAAACAGACATGAAATGGCAAAGTTAACACCGCAAGCGTCGAATCAAAATCGAAATGAGTTTCCATCTCACACCGAATAAACCAAATCAAATTAAATGGGAAATCACTTTTTACTTTCATTTCTCTGTTGGCAAATTTTCCCCTTTATTAGGCCTTCTTTTTTTACTACTCTGGTGTCTATGGGCGCGGTCTTTAATATTTCCCATGCCTAATCACGCACCCACCTAATAAAAAATATAAATAAAATCCCAAATCCCAGGCCAATTTATTAACATTTAAATCGAATTTTTCCTTATCGCTTTTTTAGGGAGAGGAGGTAAAGCATTTTCATGTAGCGGACATAAAAAAATTACAAAATTCATATGAAATGCAATACAATAATGTGCAATCTCGTCTGCTATTGAAACCAGTAAAACAGTGGGGACTCAAAAGGAGATCTTATATATTTATAGATTTTTTAAATCAAATGAACAATTGGATTTTTCCTTATTATAAGCTATTTTAAACATATTAAATATTATTTAGTGTGTTATTTTCTTTAAAAAATACTAATTTTCCTTTATTTACTACCCACTGTACTGCAATCTGAGCCCAGGCCAAAAAACTGACCGCATCGCAACGCAAGATCAGCGGCGAGTGCAAATTGATTAATGGATGCTAAATATTTAAAACATTTTCCAGTCATTGCAGCCAGTAGTTGTTGTAAAGCGAAACCATGAAAAGTTGCCGCTGCGTTTGTTGCTGTTATTAATTGTTGTAGTTTATGCCTTAAAACGGCAACCAGTTTAGTTGAACCCCCCGCACCAAAAACCGAGTTAAAATGACTCTGGTCCGACTATCGCATCTGTTCGATCTTAGCAAACGATCTCAAATTGCAGTGGAAAATGGAAACAAACTTTTAGCCTCGCTTAATTGCGCAAATTTAGCCAAGAGGCTCTGATTTAATCCATGGAAATAGCAAATGTTAATCATGTGGGTTGTGTCTTTTGAGTCTTACACAAAGCGATATACGAGCTCATTTCTTGCCACACATTTGCTTTTTCGCCTTTGTTCCAAGTACGAAGCGGGCAAATTAATTAATAAAATACAAAAAGTAATGGAGAAAAAATGAAACCAATCGAAATAAGCATAAACAATGCTGAGCTAATTAAAGCAGCAGCCCAGCAACAACAAATGCCAGATCGGACCGACCCACATCTAAAAGTTGATCATTTTTAAAAACGCTTATGCTCGACCATCAAAGTACTCAGTGGTTAAGTTGGGGATATTAAAAATGATAATGTTCATAAAAACTAGAAAATTGGAAAGGTGAAATCCATATATCAATACACGTATTAAAAAGTGATTTATGATTTGTAAAAATTTAGGTGTTTATCTTTATATCGGTGTAATACTTAAGTGCTTATGACTAATAAATACCAAAAAAGAAATAATTTATATAACTTGGAGAGTGGCAAATATTGTAGTTACTTCTTAAGTATCGCTGTTACAAATTGACTTTACAAACCATTAAACCCTCTCGCTCTTCTACTACCACTTTTAATATAATAAAAACTGTTGCACTTGAAGCGCAACGTGGAAACATAAATCATGGCAAAAAGTCATTTTACAGCGATTCCAAATCGGAATCCGCCGCAAAGGCCAAGTTAAGGTTGTGTGGCCAAGGGGCAGGGGCAAGGGGAGGGGCAAGGGGAGGGGCGGACAAGCCACGCATGAACTCCAACTGAACCTGGCCTGAACTTTAAGCCCAGTAGCAATTGTTGGGGGAGGGCGTGTGCCAACAGCCGACAACAGACAGTCACAAATAGCAGGGGAAAATCTTAATGCACAGAAAATAATTATATATTTAAAAATATAAAAACCAATCATTTTTAAAAAATATTTAAACGCTTCGTTATAATGTACAAATAATATTATTAAAATGATTTCCTCCCTTAACACTATATTTCCAATGTTATAATAGAATACAAAACTGAACGAAATGCTAAAATATTTCTTTATAAAACATTAAAGTAGCCTTTCTTTTCTCCTATCTTATTTTCTTTTTCATTTTAATACTATACTTTATTTTTTCCTCTGTAGCTCTAGTCGTGTTCGTAGTAAAATCAGGTTGATGAGCATTGGACAGTCGCTGAAAGTAAACTAGTTCTTGTGCGATCTCCATCTCCCGAGGAGCAACAGGCCAGCAAATTCTGGGTGCGGTAGCCTCCTTTTTCCGGCACGAACTGAAACTTTAAGCCAGGGCAGAATGCATACGGCCAATAGCCGGGGGAATGAAGCAGGCTTTAATGCCTTTTCCCGGCCCGGGCAGAGAGTGCAAGAAACCCATAAATTAGCCGGAGTGCGCCTTTATCCATGTGTGTGCAGTGGTGCTCCATCTGAGTTTGTGGTCAAATAAATAGAAAATTAGCCAGACATTGGCCAGCCAAGCAGCAAAAGCACAAGAAACGTACAAATAATGTGGATGTTGCAGCAGCATAAAAGAGCAATAACAACGCAAACAACGTCGCACATTAGTTGCCATAAACTGTGCAAGTCTAGAAATTCTGGAACTGAAACCGAAACTTCGGAGGCAGAGGCAACAGCTCATTGCCGCTAATTAATTGCGAGCGGTCAGGCGGGCCCCACAAAGAGGTGTTGGCCATAAAACAAGTAAAAGGGAAAGGGGATTGATAGGGGCTCCTATAAATTGCCAACGTCAGCAGCTGCTGGCCAGGAATTTAAGGCTCTTTCAGCTGGAAGAAATCAAGGCAAGGCGATGAAAGGAAAAATTCCTCAGTCGATTTTGCTTGCATTTCTACTTTAAGAGCATATCTAGGTATTGTTATAAAAGAAAGGACACTTTTTTGGAAGGTGTGTGTCCAGAGCGGAGCTGGGTTCACCTAAAAATCTAAAATCAAAAACCGAAATTCCGAAATAACTCATCAGTCTATGCTAAGTAAGGATTTCTACCCTTATTGAAAGGTTTCAAGTGAAATATATTATTTAATTTTCTTTATTATTTATTTATTATTTTTCATATCAAGTCATGGCATTTCGGCCAAGTATATCTAATCCTTTTCCAATCTTACCTAATCGGTACCTCCCATTTTCCTAGCCTCACCCCAACATGAATCACGAAAAAACGTCCAAGACTTGTAAATATTTTTTACGCTCGCGTGTTAATCGCAATCAAATTAAAACTAAGACACACACAGAGAGCCGGACTCATATGAGCGATGGGGAGGAGGGGAGCTGTTAATGAAAATGCCACAAAATTCCCATAATGCATTTCGAGGCTGTCTAGGAGACAACTTCGACTTCACGCTGCGCTACACAAAAAGACTACCACTACAAAAAAAGAGCTGTGAAAAGTCTCATTACTTTGGACAAATATGCAGTGTTGGCTGGGCAAAAAGAGTTGGGGGCAAATGTGCAAAGTTGCCAA